TGGGTGTAATGGTATTTAAAGGTTTGAATGGTCTGGCCCCGAAATACTTAGAAAAAAATGTATTAGAGTTTTATCTATGTCATCTTATGGGCTCTAAGGTCTGCTGATTCAAACACGTTTTATGTTAGAGATCGAAATCTGAAAACAGCAGACATAGATTTTGCAGTTGCTGGGGCTGTTTATTGGAACAACCTATCTATCGAACTACGTATATCTTGGTTATCATTAGCTGAGTTTAGAAAACGTCTAAAGACATATATATTTGGTAACTCCTAGTGATCTCCACCGATGATGGCTTTGCTTTCAACATGCTTTATACGAGGAGAGCGCTGATGAGAAGCAATTATAATTGGCGTTATATAAATACAAAATTTGATTCGATTTTATATATATATAGTAAGAAATAAAAGAAGTGTATCGACAAATTTCTTCATAACAGACGTTGGGATCGGGTGTGTATATATGTGTGTGTGTGTGTATGTGTGTGCGCCTGTGTTTTTGTGTGTGAGTTTGTATGTATTGGATTTTTATAACATATTTATGTATTATCATACAATAACATTTAGGAAATTCCTTGTTATAAGTAAATGTGTTCGGTACCAATTTTAGAATCTTTGACTAAACAAATTTTATTTACCAGAAGTTGTAATTTTTTTTATTATAATGTATTATTTTTTATACATTCTAGTTAATTTTAAAACAATTTCAGATGTTCTATTTTATAAATATAAAATATTAACACGCCGTAAAAAACTTCAGTTTGTTATTTTGTACAACAAATACGTAGTTAAAATTTAAATCCTTGTTAAGCTATGCTACTCACAATTATTGTTCTAAATTATTACGGTCGATAATACAATGAACAAAAGTTTATTGTATTATCGGCTGCTTATTGTTATATTTTGTATTATGTATTGTGTTATAAAGAAATTTATTTTTTTGCAATTTTTCAGGAAATTCATGGTTACTGCCAGTCTCTTCCCACAATGACGGTAATGATATTTTATTAATATATTTGAAGCGTAAATTAAATAAATATTTGATTTATCTACGTCTAATTGAAATGAATGCGCAATTCATAAATTAGAGTGAATTTGCTACGAGAAAATTGGAAAAAAAGTTTTTAAATCTTTCTGATATTTAAATTATGAAATTTTTGTTTGTGAAAAAGCTATAACAAAATTTAAATTACTAAATTTTGGTGATGATTCAAATTTTAATTTTACTCTTGTTATATCGACAAATATATAAATAAAAATTGGATTCAACTGGAGTTCGTATGCTAATCTTGACGAATTTTTTCAATTTTGTGTTTTGGACAAACAATTTTTTATTTCGGTATGGACATCAAAAAGTATTAGGCATTTTGTGTAAAGCGCCAATTTCTGTTCGTCAAAGATGCACCACCGTTAGTAATCAATTTGGTCAATTTATTTCAGAACCATCGGCCGAAGCTTAGAGGCTTTAAAAGAAGCAGATGTCGTGTCATTTAATAATTTATTTTGTTAAAATAACATTAATTAGTAATATTTTACTGTTGTGAGCGAGTGTTGGAATCGGATAAAAAATATTTAACTCCGGCTTTCAAAAAAACATCAAAAAAAATTTCCAACTTTGTATCGCAATTTTACTTAAATGTCACTAATAAATATAAACTACTTTAAAAACACTTGAAACTAGTCAACATTATTGTTTTTCTTGGTAATTCAAATTTTGAAGTAGAAAATTTTAAATTAACAAGCCCATGAATAACGTATAAAAGTTCGTTCCAAATTTAATGGCTGGTTTGATGACGAATGATATGTGAAAAAAACTTTTTACACGCAAGTTAGAAAGAATAATGTTGCTCAATAAAAGATGCAAATGATTTCATTTGATGGAAGGAAGCGATCTTTGAATGCTGAGATCTCACAAATAGCCTTAATGAGACCAACGTTGAAAAAATCTGGTTTGGCACCTGATGTCATGAGCAGTTAAAAGCCAATATCAAATCTCATTTTCGTCTCAAAAATTGTTGAAAAAACCCGCTGTTCGTCAGCTTTTCAATAACCTGAACAACAATTCAATGTTACACAAAGTTCAGTCAGGTTTTCGTCGTGCTCACTCATCTGAAATGGCTATTCTAAAAGTGGTCTCAGATATTTTTCTGATGATGCTGACATGGGAAATGTGGCAATGTTCGCGCTTTTGAATGTTAGCGCCGATATTGATACGGTGTACTACCATATCTGCTAGAATGATTGTCGTTCTTATATGGTATTTCGGTTACCCACTAAATTGGTTTGAGTCATACCTGGCGGATAAAACTCAAGTCGCCAACTTTGGCTTGGATCTGTTGTTGTCGTAGAATTATCAGGTACCTGCTGCAATTTATACGCCGATGACATCCAAACTCATCTCATCATCTGTCCACAGTTGTCACGAATTCAGTTAATGTAGTGGGCTAACGGATGACAGCAAATAAACTTAAAAACTTGGTACATGTTTTGGAAACTCCTAATAAACTAAGTCAGGTAAATGATTTTAAAAACCTGGTAACAAATCTTGCTCACTGCTTTATCTGCTTTGTTTAGACAAGCAAACGCTCACTGCTTTATCTGCTTTGTTTAGACAAGCAAAACGCAGGTCATGTTGTTGCTTGATAAGTATGCAGTCGATGAAATGCCAGTGTCCTGAATGTGGATATTTTGTATAAACATCTGAAGTTTGTATAATGTTGTGTAAACAGCATCATCAAGCTGTTCATTAAACAAGTTCTCTTTTTTTACTACTTGGTCCAAGAGTTGGCACGTAGCAGATGTTCAAGGTCCAATGTATCTATTCTCCAGGCTGAGTTGCATCCTCACTAGGCGCGTTGAAATATCACAAAGTACATACTTTGAAAGTGAGTTACAAATGGCAAACCCCACTTCCCTTATTTGCGCATTATCTGTTCAATGACCCTGACTAAAGAAAGTGTAAATGGCTCTTCTTTCCTTAAGCTGGGTTGTTTTAAAAATTCCTGTTTCAATGAATGTAAAAACATCTATGTTGTGACGTGCAAGTTTGCGTGTCGTGATGGCAGATCGACGCAAAGTACGAACGTTTAATGCGGCAATATTGACTATGTTTCTTTTCTTTCTACCGCTAAGTAAAATAACTAGCCAGCAGACTGACAAGGTGAGGCGAAGAGCTAGTTTTTATTAGGACACATACAGTTGGATAAAGCAGTGCCTCCATAAATAGAGCTGCTTTGTCACCCAGGCAAGATACGAACATTACTGTAGCTCCCAGCAATGAACCATTATCTTGCCAAAAATACCCACCCACCTGCCGGATTTTGACTAGACCTTCTTGGTAGTTTCCTCTACCTATGTCCGTCACCACTCACCAATCACCGCAGGGCTTCACTTGCACACCAATTTAACAATGACGACTTTCACAAGGGTGTAATAAAAGTCGAGCATGTTTGTACAGCATGTTACACTCTCTCTTCAACAGAAATCAATGTCAACAGGCAAATCGAGTTGAGATACGCTGACCGCCCAGTAGGACACAGCAATTTGGACAAAGTTGCAATGTGGTTAGGTGTATACTCGTAGCCAACTGTCTTGGCTAGATTTTTAACTAGGTTTACTTTCAAATTTTTCCCTAGCGTGAGTAAGGTTAAAAGGCCACGAAGTTTGAAATTAAAGTTTCCTTCTAGATGACTAATTTTACGAGCGCCATTCCCTCGGATTCTTGTTGGGGCTTCAGCAAACTCACTTTTGCCCTCTTCTGTTAGTTAATAGCAGCCCCCACCGCGAGCAGGTCAGGTTCGAGTAGGCCTTCATCTACCGCAACGTATTCAACGCCGCAAGCCTTATGGAAGCATTTTATAGATTTGGGGAGTTTTTCTCCTTAATTGCTGCTGGCACGGTAGAAAAGTTGGGAGCCAATATCGTAAATAATAATTTTTAAAGTATCTCCATTTTTTAGAAATCGATCGAAACATTGTCTCACCACGTGATAACTCAAAAGAAGTAAATAATGATCCTTTTTTTGTTTCATACGAACGAATTTTGAAAGAAAAAATTAAATTTTGGCGGTTACAAATAAGTGAAATTAAAAATTATGATTTTTTGTATTAATAACTGTGGTAATAAATTAACTAAAGAACCAAAGTTTCACTTTTTTCCGCTATAAATCTCAAAAGAATGTATATTTGGTTCATTTTGTAGTTTTTAATTTATTAAAATGTATCTTTAAACACGGTACTTGAAATATATTACAGTCAATCTTTATTTTCAAAATAATTACAAGATTAATTAAGAATTTTGTTATTTATAGCACGACATTTTTACGATTTGACAAATCTGGGATTAACCGTTAAATGTGTCTAATTCCGTGGTGGGTTATCTATCTTCAGAGAAGCTATAAACTCTTATAATTTTTAATATAATAACTTTTCAAAATAAACAATTAAAAATCGTTTGTTTATTCAAACATATCCACACAAGCACAATGTTTTGCTCAAAAATCGAATAGAAAGATACTAAATCGCTTTTTTTATTTTTTCCATGCATCCACATAATAACAAAAATGGTCCACATGCAATAGCTTATATAAGAACTATTATATATTGCCAATATATACATATTTACATACAATGTTGCCCAACGATAAGAATTACTTGGACAACTAGAGTCCAAGTTTTTGACAGTTGGCATGCCACACACGGAGATGTTGTTGATTTGCAGTCATGTTTGTAAAATAGCTGGCATTAACTCAGTTAGAAAGGTTTGTAACCTAAATAGTTTGGCGCTGGACAAAGCCAGGGTTTTGGCATTTAAAAGCGACCTTAGGTCAGCGTGGCTGAGGACGGTGCAAAACCCCTTTTGTGGCACAAAGCCGGGTAATTTGGTCATTTGAGTGAGTTTGGGGTTGAAGTTTGGTTTGCCAGTTGTTACCGGGTATGTTTGTCACTGCGGAGCAAATGTTGATCCATTTGGCTATCATAGTCTCTCATGCAGTTTTGGCTCTGGACGCCAGGCAAGACATTCAGCGATGAATGATTTCCTGGTTCGCTGCTTCCAGAAAGCTGCCATACCAGTGATTAAGGGACCGGTAGACCTGATCACGGATAGAAACTTTAGACCTGACGGGCACACAATTTTTCCATGGGCTATAAGACGCTCGCTGGCTTAGAATGTGACGTTCCTTCATACGATGGCCGAAAGATACATCTCTTTCACAACGGTTGAGACAGGTTCCGTGGTTTTTAAAGCATACCACTAAATATTGTCAAAGTATGCTACTCTCAATGACTTTAAAATTTAACCGTTGTGAAAGAGATGTATTTTTCGGCCATCGTATAAAGGAACTTTCACATTCCAGATCAGCGAACGTCTCATAGAAACAGAAACGGTAGCCATGTAATGGCTTCTTGTAAGGACGCGTTCAGTCATAGACGTTATATTAGAAAAAACAATAAAGTATTGAAAGTACTATTGGAACTTATTTCCAATGTTTGTGACAAGGCAAATTCAAGGCCACTGTGCAAACCAAGGAAAATGAAGTTTGCAACCGAAGAAGTATTTTTGATAATGGATTTGGGTTTGGCGGGTGAAAGACAATCGAGTTGTTCAAAAAACATAGGACATACAGCCCCGAACAAGCATCTTACTGTATATGGTTATGTAGGGAGAAATATAACAGACAAGCCTGTGTGCACGGTAAGCTTCCGATTACTCAACACTCCCAAATTGGGCTTAACGTGTTACTTGGCTCGTCGATATAACTCACAGCGTGATATATTTATATGTAAACTTTTTGGCACGCCCACATAATTTTTTAGTATAAAAGGAGGTAATTTCAAGGCAAGACAAATTGTTTAACAAGAGACGTCAAACTGGTCACTGGATGTGGCCATGTTTCTCGAGAGTGTCAGAAATTTGACGGGCCGAAACACTCGTTGACAGAAACTCTTCCTCTGAAGACTCTTGCTGAACGTTCGTTGTGTTTGAGTTTCTACAAACATACATTAAGTTTTATTTTTGTATTTTATTCTCGCACAGATAAAAAAATATAAAAAAATATATAAAAAACAAATATTTTGCGTTTATATTTTACACTAAATCCTAACACAAATTCATTTAGTATTTAATAAATTATATAGGAAAATCATTCATTCATTCACTCATTCAGTCGTTCATTTTTCAATAAATTCATTCAAATATAATCTAAACCAGGTGGCAGCATATTTGTATACCAACTTAATTCAAGCTCTTACCTTCATACACTCGTTTACATTTGCACATTTGCACGCGGTTTCCATTAAATTCGACAGAAAACAAACAAAAAAAAACAAACTAAGTATAAACTTTTTAGTATAAGCCAAACTCACATACCTCCTACCTTCACAAACCTCTAAATAGCTTCCAGGGCGAGCGGCGCACATTTTGTGTGTGTGTGCATCAGCATCGTGCACTAGCGTGCCCCCCGAGCACATTTTCGTTATCCCCTCAAGTCGGTTTGTGTTTCTTCTTCTCAGCCAGCGCTTATTGCAGCCATGCTTGTTGTCCCATCGTTGTCCTTCACTCCAGTCATAGTAGTCGTTGGTAGTAGTTTTTTGTATTCCCCATTGGTTTTATTGTATCCCTATGACTTCTAGCCAGAGCTCCTCTACTGGTTCCAGCACTCTCACTCGTTGTCACGTATGTTCCAAACATTTTCGTTTGCGTCCCGATGGCACATTGGTTAGGCATGGAGGAAAGGTTAAGGGTTCAAAATGTTTCGGGCCAAAACGGGGTCAAAACGCGCGTAATTGAGAAACTTTTCCGGTTGCGTCTCTGCCGCCAATGCCGTCGGCAGCGTCTCTATCAGCTGTGCTGCACTGCAACAGGTTTCTAAAATCGACATGGCAGAGAGGTGTTTCAGATAATTTGCTAGTTTCTGTTTTATGGATCACATTTCCAAACGCTGGCTAAAGTAGGAAAGAAAATGATTGATAAATCCTCTTTTTCAATCAAATGGTTCAAATTGCTCTTTTTACCAGCAATGGTCTTAAAAAAAAGTCACCGCGGCAGCAGACGTCATAATCCAGCTGGATTAACCAATCAGAGGATTGACGATTTTGGCAAACAATCCGTCGAGAAGATGGCTGACTGCTCAGAATTTGTTAATAAAATTGGAAAAAAAGAAATCAGTCGAATCTAAGTTTATAACTTTGGTGAAGTCTAAGATCAAAAAAGGAAACATAAAAAACGCGATGCAACTTCTGTCATCAACGTACACCGTAGCACCTGATACTGAAAAGACTATACGCGTTCTAAAGTCTAAACATCTCACTGCACCCAATAACAAACAACAAATTTCCTCCAAGAAAAGTTCAAGCTTGAGCGTTACATTTCCATATGTACTTTTTGCTTAAAAACTTTTCCAAAGGGAACATCAGGTGGCAGGGACGGCCTTACGCCGGAGCATTTGAAAGACCTCACATCTTCAAAAAAAGATTCGATTGATCTCATCAACTCAATCACTGCATTCATCAGCGTGATTTTAAACGGTGATTGCCCACCTGATGTGACCCCATACTTTTTTGGCGGAAGGCTGGTGGCTCTATTGAAAAAAAGCGGCGGGATCAGACCCATAATAGTCGGGTGTGTGTGGAGACGTTTGACTGCAAAATGCACTATGCCATGTTGGCCGTCAAAGACAGAATGGTTCCAATTTTGCAGCCGCAACAGGTGAGTGTCGGCGTCAGTGGTGGAGCAGAGAGAGCGGTACATGCAATGAGACGGTTTTTAGATAACATGCATGATGGCCAGTGTTTGCTCAAATTAGATTTCTCCAACGCTTTTAATGCTCTACGACGCGACCAGGTGTTGAGCTGCACCAAATCCATTATACCAGAGATTTTCAATTTTTGTCATTCGGCTTATGACTCGCCTTCTTTTCTATCCTTCGGCGACACTAGAATCCGGATCCTGTCAGCTGAGGGTGTTCAGCAGGAAAATCTCCTGGCTCCCCTTCTTTTTGCACTTTCTGTTGACTCACTAATTAAATTACTAAAATCCAAATTCGTTGTTGCCTACCTAGATGACATTTCATTGGGAGGTGATGTCGAGTCTGTTTTGAATGACCTTAATACTATTATAAATTCAGAAACTAACATAGGTTTAAAACTTAATTTTGAAAAATGCGAGTTGTATATGAACAACACTATTACACTTAACCTTAAATATCCAATTAAAATTCTTGAAAAAAACGAGATTGATTTTCTAATTTTTCTTGGTGAAAGCCAAAACATATTCGTAGCTAAAAAATTGGAAACCTTTAAACTTATCACCCAAAGGCTAAGTATCATCAATAATGCCTTCTATTGCAAGCTGCATTTTGCCTCGTCTTGTTTATTTTTTAAGAACATCCCCTTTGTTGGATGTTTCAATCCTCAATAGTTTTGACGATCATCTCCGTGACGCGTTCCAGTCCATTCCATTCCAGTTTTTTTGATCAAAAAATTGTTTGCAGGGGACTTTGCCTATATGTGTTGGTGGCCTGAGTTTGGGTTCCGCGGCTGAGCTGGCACTTTTTGCTTTTTTGGCTTCTGCTGCTGCCACGGTGACCCTCCAGGATCTGATGTTGCTGAGGGATGAGATTTACGTCGATAACTACAGAATTCAAGTATACAATATGTGGTGCGCCACCAACGGAGATGTGGTTGCGTTTAAGAACCCCTCGCTAAAACACTGAATTGCCCCTTGTCTTAATAAACCAGTTGACCGATTGTTACAACTGAATAGCTGCACTTTTGACAAGGCCAGAATTATGGCTGTCAAAGCGAGTTTGGCTCTGCCTGGTTGAGGTCGCTACCCAACACCTCCTGCGGCACTAGATTGGATGATTTCTGTGTCCGCGTGAGTCTGGGTTTGAGACTCGGAGCCCAGATCGTGCATGTGGGGCAAGGGTTGATGAACTCAGATACCATAGTCTTTCTTGCCGTTTAGGTCCTGTCAATGAATACTTAGTACGATGTTTCTAAAAGGCTGGTATCCCGGTTATAAAAAGCCCATGGATTTGATAGAGGAAGGAGCCTTTAGGCCTGATGGTTACATTATCACTCCATGGGCACAGGGACGGTCCCTGGCTTGGGACGTTACCTTTCCGCACACCATGGCTGACCGATATATCGGATATACTTCAGTGAAGGCGGGCACCGCTGCCCTTAAAGCGTCCGATTTTTTAAATCAAAATTACTTTTCATTAAATAACATAAGCGAAATATTTCAACCCATTTGCATCGAAACGTTCGGACCAACAGTACATACGTACATACATACCTACATACACACGTTCATACACACATGCGTACATACATACACATACATACGTACGTACAACGTACATATTTGACACACATACATACATACATACATATAAACAAACATTTGTACATATATTATAGGTACCGTTATTAATTGTTATATTGAGAGGTTCATTTAGTCAAAATTAGTCTAGAAGATTAGCATAAAAATGGAACATTATAATTTTGTATATAATGTAAAGTTGCACCGTCTAAATTATAACATAAAACGAATCGAAAAGTTGTGGGACCGGAATTTGAAACCAAATCCAACCGCTTCTTAAAAATAAGATTTGTCCCGTTTTTAAATTTTGACATTAACTAATAAAAATAATTATCGAATCGAAATCGAAAAGTTGTGGGACCGGAATTTGAAACCAAATCCAACCGCTTCTTAAAAATAACAGATTTGTCCCGTTTTTAAATTTTGACATTAACTAATAAAAATAATTATCAGCCGTTTTTTATAAGCCATTATTTTACAAACTTGCCGATAAATTGGACGTTTTATTATATTAATCATCCAATGTACATTTGGTGTAACACAATCTTTTTTTTTTAATTTCAAAACATTTCAAAAACGTTCAACAGAACAAGTATGCACAGTGGTCGATATAACATATCCTGACGAGGATCCTCTTCTCTGCCCTCATGGTTTTACTTGTCTGGTAGCTGAAGATAATGATGACAATGCTGCGAATGTTGATGATATTAACAAAATTAATTGGAGTAACAAAAATAAAATTAATAAAAGACACAGTTTAGATGATAACGGCTTTTTTGAAAGTTACCAGCATATCAACTTGTTAAATAAAATTGAAAAATCAAATGTAGCTGATTTGGAAAATATAGAAACGTTTGTAAGCTTAAGAAGTAGCCAAAGAGTAAAAACAGGCATATGTGTTCCAGAATTTTGACAAATTGCATGTTTTTATTAAGCCGTTAAAATACTAATTTATTTCTATGAAAGTAACATTTGTTTAACTTTTTAATGCCTTTGACCTAACCGTCAAAATAAAAAATACAATTGTTTAGTAAATGTATATGTAAAAATATAATAGATATGAGCAAAACCAAAATTTATCTTATTAACAAAATTTGTATAGCAAAAAATTTGTCTTTCCAAATGGCGTTAAAAAAATGTTTTTTAAAAGATAAGACATTAAACATTAACACTAAATCATTTAAATTTAGTCCATTTTCACAAGTAGTATTTGCTATTTTATTTTCAAGTGGTAGTAGATTAAAAGGTATTTTTTCTGGATTAGCAATAGATATTTGTAAAGTTTTTAAAATTTGAAATAAAATTTACATATTTCAGCAATTTGGATTCAAGACATATTTCAACAATTTGGATACAAGTTTTTTAGTTAAATTAGATTTAAAAATTATTAGCCGCAAATTTTTGGTAAAAACACTTTGTTGTTACATTGAGGCATTATATCCAATTTATCCATATTTTAATATTTATTTATATTTTAATATTGACCAGCCATTAAAGAAACCTGACACCTAATTTCCATCTAAGTTTATTTGGACAAAGTCAATCTCCATCTAAGTTCATTTTGACAAAGTCAATATTTCCCTATATAAACAGCAGAGAGCACTGATGTGGATTCATTCGGAATCGAAATATGGCCTTATTTGCAGCAAGAATTTGGAAAATAAGTTTATTTTGAATTTTTATAAACTAAACTTTCACCAAAAAACTTTAGTGAGAAAAATTGAAAAAACGAACTACAAACATATTAACGCCAAACATTTGGTAGAATTTATAGAATATTGTAAAAATTATGGTCTATTACCAACATAATATTCATTTGTAAATAAGAATTACAAGCCTTCTGGAAAACAAACTAACCGAGAAAATAATAACAATATATATATATATATATATATAAACAAATATATATATATATATATATATATATATATATATATATATATATATATATATATATATTTGACATTTTTTATTTCATCAAATCAAACACAAAGAAATCAAAGAAATTATATCAATGAAAAGAAATGATCTGGAAATTTGTTTTATTGAAAGTAGTTTTGCAATCTGAAAATAATTAGAGGTGTGGTCATTAAATTTTAAATCGAATAAAATTTTTATAAAACGTTTTTGACATTTTAACAGGGGATCTAGCTGATAAGCAGGGCTATTTCCCCATATGATCACACAATAATGAATATAAGAGTATATAAAGCTATAATACAAATCTTTTAATAATGTGGAATTAATCTTATTTTTGATTTTATAAAGTATACCTATGAATTTATTGATTTTTGATTTAAGATTTAAGATAACTGTAAGACAAATTATCTTGCAGAACTAAACGCAAAAAAACAACTTGATTGGTTCTGTTTAATTTCACATTGAACACAAGGTCTAAGTCCGAGAAACTATTGGTTAAAATCTTTGATCCAAATATAACATAGGCCGATTTGGATGAATTAACCATGAGTTTGTTCATAGAGAACCAATCCTCGAATAATTTGAGTTCTATATTTATGACATTTAAATCTCGTTTAAGGTCATCAGAAGAATAAAAAAATGTTTGAATCGTCAGCGTAAAGAATACAATTCATCTTTTTTGATAAGTAGGCAATGTCATTTATATAAATCAAAAAAAGCAAAGGGCCTAATACAGACTCTTGCGGGACTCCAAACGAAACTTCACGCGTCCCAGATTTAACATCATTCACAAAAACATATTGCTTTCTACCCGAGATATAACTCTCAAACCATTGATTTGTAATACCATCCAAGCGTAATAATGGTTGAGTTTATTTAACAAAATATCGTGATCAATCAGATCAAATGTCTTTGTAAGATCGAGATATATTCCAAGAGTAAGCCTACGTGAACTCATGTTGGTCAATATATTTTGAACCAATTCTAGAATGGCTAGTTCACATGAATGATGGGCTCTGAATCCGTACTGGTTTTCAGAGAGAACATTGTTTTTCATAAGAAAAGAAAATAAGCGTTTGTAAACCAGTTTTTCTAATACTTTGGATAAAAGTGATAATAAAGAAATTGGTTTGTAATTATTTAAGTTATAGGGGTCATTTTTTTCATGATAGGAACAATTTTTGAGAGTTTAAAGCATGATGGAAAAATACCTTGTTTGAGAGAAATGTTGAAAATATGAGTAAGTGGAGATAAAATTTCGTTTTTGAAAGTTTTAACTATGAATGAGTTAAGTTCATCATCAAAAGTTGACATTTTGGGTTTAAGCGAATTTATTATTTGAATAACTTCTGACCAATTTGTAGGTTCAAGAAAAAAAGATGATAGAACCGGATCTGTAAAAATTTTTAGTTTATTCAAGGAGTCAACAGAGAATGTGTTTCGACAAGAACTAACCAAATTTATAAAATTATCATTGAAGGCATTAGATATTTTAAGTTTGTCAGTAATAAATTCGTCAGCAATTTTAATTTCTCAATTAGATTTTTCAACTTATTTGTTTTTAAAATGTCTTTAATTATTTTCCATTTATATTTAGAATTATTTTTGGCCAAATAAAAGTGATTTTCATGAAAATATTTTTGAGCTGATCTTTTAGTAGATGTTAAAAAATTTCGAAACTTTTTATATTTTATTAAATTATTGTCGCTTGGACGCTTGGATTTGTTTTATACTTTTTAAATAATTTATAAACGTGTTTAGATAAAATTAATATATCTTTAGTAATCCAACTTTTTTTAATTTTTTTATTTTTAATTGCTTTTGGAGGAGCATGATGATTTAGCATATTTAAAAATGTAGAATTGAAGTTATTATAGCATTTATTAATATCAGATTCGTTTAAAATAGAGTCCCAGTTTTCTACCATTAATAATTCTTTAATAGCTTTTACTGTATTAGATGAAAATTTCCTTGCCACTAAGATGTCATCTTTCTTAGGAAGTGATGTTTGTTTTAAACTAAATGAAAATATGGGATAGTGATCTGATAGATCCACCATTAAAATGCCATTTAGGTGATCTGAGTAAATATTGGTAAATATATTCTATTAATGTGGAAGTTGTTTTGGACACGCGAGTCGGTTGATCAATTAGCGAGTGTTAATTGTGAGAATAAAAAATGTTTTCAAAACTGTTTTTACTATGATTTGAGGAGTTCAAGTTTATATTAAAATCGCTAATAATATATGAAAAATTTGATACATTGTTTTTGCAAAAGTTTGAGAGAAAGTTAAATAATAAATTTAAGTTGGATTTAGGGGGTCTGTAAATTAAAGTAATATTGACAATATCGATGTTCAGTTGAACATCTATGTTGAGCAATTCGCAAATATTTTCATCGAAAAATTCATATTTTTTTGAATATTCAATGTTTTTTTTTCAACAAAAAATCCAACTCCCCCAACCAATTTATTTTTACGTGGGAGATCTATGAAATCATAATTATCTAAATCAATTAATTTAGACAAATCAGCAGTTAGCCAAGTTT